TTATTTGTAATTTTTACATTAGATTCAAAATTAAACATAACTTCAATAATTGTAAAAAAAGTATATAAAACCATTAATTATATTTAGTTGAGATTTCATTTAACGCAGTCAAATCAAGATGAAAATTTTTACACTTGTTGTTGCCACAGCACTAATTACTGCATGTTCAGTAATATTTATTACAAAATCTAGGACTGATGGAAAACAATCCATTTATAAACCAACTATAAAAGATTTAAAACAAATCCAAAATCATTTTTTATGAAGATACACCTTATTGTTAGCTCTATTTGCCTACGAAACGATAAAGTATAGAATGGAACAGCCTTACCTTTTGCAAGTCATCGAAAAAACTGCTAGAAAATTGTACAAAACTGNTATGTCGAGGAATCAATCATAACTAAAGTAGAGAGTCGAATTAATCGTAGTTATTGGCGAGGTATGCAATTTATAATTATTCGAACTTATAGATACACCTTATTGTTAGCTCTATTTGCCTACGAAACGATAAAGTATAGAATGGAACAGCCTTACCTTTTGCAAGTCATCGAAAAAACTGCTAGAAAATTGTACAAAACTGTAGAACCTTTAAGATTTGATAAAATGGAAGATTTAAGAACGGAAATTTTGGATTTAACGAAACTTGGCGATAATCATAGAAATGTTTTAAAAACAATTACGTCAACGATGAATAGATATATTTTATATTTTATCACTAATTATCAAATAGAAAAAAATAGAATGTTCGATAACTTTAGTTCGTATTTAAAAAATCAACCGATAATTCTAACACTGGAAGTAAGAGAAAATTTACTAAAGGGAATTCCAACTCATCGTCGTTTTGATCCATTATTTAATTTCCATGTGCCTCCCCTAGGATATTCTGAAGCTCTTTATAAATTAATAGATGTTATTGGTCTTATCGATAGTGAATACTTAGTTGAATAAGTAGTTTTGATTAAATTATTATTAATTAAATAAATTAATCTTTGAACTGTTTACCTTAAACTCGATAAGATCCTAAGATATTATAAGCATGGGTTAATTATAGTAATAAAAAATCTAATTTTATTGCTAATTGTATCAATTTTTAAAGACATACAAGTTTTTTTTAAAGATTGTAGGATTACAGAATTTAAATATGAATCTATTGCTATTACTAATGATTCTACAGGTGTTTGGAGGTGTTCAAAATTTGTCGTTTTTCCTAAAAGTCTTAAAAGTTTTTACTATAAGAATTAAGAGTGTTGTAGAACAATTTTTCTTTTGCTAAACATTAAATTTTAACTCTTAAAATGTACGTTTTATTCGTATATATTTACTTTTACGGCTAAAATTTGTTTTATAAGTTCTTTTTTTTTTCTAATATAAAAGCTGTTATGTACTCTGCTAATAGACTTCCTATACTTTTAAAGGTTACTAAGTAGTCTAAAAATTTNTTCAATTAGTAAAAATGCGTTTTTTGTGAACTCCCCATTAATCCGGCGTTTTCGTTAATCCGGCAGTAGCGTGGTCTGATATTTGTCGGATTACCGAGATTCTACTGTATATTAATTAAAGTAGAATAAAACAAAAAAATCAAATTTTAATGAGAATAAAATTGAATTTTTATCATTTAAATAATAATTAAGTATTAAAAATTTTTTTTTTCATACATTGGAACACTGCGCATAAAGAAAGAACGTGTTTAAATTTCATAGGACACTTTTATTTCAACTAATGACTTTTTTAAGTGATCGAATGTATAAAAGTTGATGAGACATACTCTCGTTAACAAATTAATGAATATTATTCTATGAATTTTTAGAAAAATGTTGTCGATTAACAAAATAAAACGTTCATGTTTTCTCAATTTCAATATAGTAATGAATGTAATTTCTATAATCTTCCTCGAGGAAGTAATATTATTAAGGTAAAACAATTTGTTTTCTATTGCAACAGTTATTAAAATAAGTTTGATGACTCGTGTAAAAGAACAAGTAGACAAAGTCATCACNCTCGTTAACAAATTAATGAATATTATTCTATGAATTTTTAGAAAAATGTTGTCGATTAACAAAATAAAACGTTCATGTTTTCTCAATTTCAATATAGTAATGAATGTAATTTCTATAATCTTCCTCAAGGAAGTAATATTATTAAGGTAAAACAATTTGTTTTCTATTGCAACAGTTATTAAAATAAATTTGATGACTCGTGTAAAGGAACAAGTAGACAAAATCATCACCGAATTGATATGAAAGACTTATAAATTTATAAAAAATTAATTTTTATGGCTCCATATTAAAAAAAAACATGTTCAAATTACGGAAGACACTTGTGCTTCGTTCAATTATTTTTCCAATAATTTTATTGAAACTAAAATTAATGACAAGTGTTACGTGCACTTTGTAAGGGAATGTACTTCGTTAATAATCGAACATAAAATAATGCATTTTTGCTAATTATTTACGAATAAACTTCTTGGAATAGATGTTATTAATAACTCTTACAAACTTTTGATACAATTAACATAACCTGTAATTTTTTTTTTCAATTTTTTTCATTCTGAGACTACGTTAAATGCATGTTTTTATTCGTGAATATATATATATATATATATTAATTTTTGAAATAACCATATTTTAACATTGCTTATAAAAATGTTTAATAAGTCAACAACAATGTTAAGACGTATTGAGTTACCCACGCTGCATACAAAAGTATATCTATTATATTGCCTGTAACTCAATAAGTTGAGTTTCATAATTAGCCCAGTAAAAGAAACGCTCTGAAAACCCATTTGTATGGTACGGAACACCTTTTGAAGGATCTAGTTGATCAGTTGTTACAAAGATCATTGATTATATTATTTCGCGGGACAGCTGATCACCAGCATCTTGCTCTACTCATCCCCTTGCCCACCCATCTCGTCAAATCGATTGTCATCCGTGTACAGTTCATTGTCATAAGTGACTGACTGTCGTTTTTTTTTTACGTGTCGTTTTTTTTCTGTTGCCAGCGCCTTCGCCTGAATAGTAAATTGTTCGCCATAGTTTTCTTATTTTTTGTTTATTAATGCGCCCTTGTGCTCAAAGTTTACGTGCCCTTGCACGACACTAGTGATTGGGCACTAAACATTATCATTGCCGTATTCTCTGTGCTCATCTGCCATTACGTGCCTGGATCTGCACTCTGACTCTTCATACTCGGATGTTCGACACCATTACCACAAGATCTCATACAGTCCACTCATCATCGTCAGCAACGTTATCTTTTCAGCTGCGTTTTATACTATTTTTAATGTTAATTATTGTTTGTTCTAATTGAGATTAATTATTTTGTTTTATGCCGCTTCGCCGGCCACTGGTATTTAAGGGCCCCCCGTTACCCCTTAAATTTAAGATACTCTCTGAGCAATTTCTAATATATGTGATTATTTGTTATTTAATTATTGTCGACTCTCGTTTACTTATTGGATGTATAGACCCACTCTCATCATTATTAACGTTTTATTAAACAGGCTTAAGGTAAATCGGCGTTCTAGTGCGGTGCACAACTAGCCGTCCTACGGTCTAGCTGCCTCGTACGCAACACCATTTAAAAGTTAAAAAAAAAAAGTGCATTTTTATTTTTTAGTCTAAGAATACAAATATTGTAAAAAAAAAAAAATGTACAGCGAAATAAAAATTATATTATAAGAATTGTCAGTTAGATCTATTGCCAGCTGAATTAATTGTGAATGTTATAAATATATGTATGAGTAATTAAAATAAAAAAAATATTGCCCGTTAGAAATTAATTTTTTTATTTGCATAACATAAAGTTGTATTAAAATAGAATTTTTTTTAAATATTTGACATTTTAAATAAGTTTTCATAAATCATACGTCATAATATTTTTATGTGTAATAAATTTTTATATTTTTAACTATTTCAAGAATTATTTAGAACCATAATGAATTTTTTTGTACTGGGAATTTTGTCTTAAATTTATTTTACGTCATTATTTGATTAAGAAATAACAGTGAATATCACAAATCAGGGAAATATTGAATATGACTATTATTAAAGAAGAATTAAATGTTGCTTTTCTTAAAGTTCAATTAAAATTAAAACAAATTTGTCTTATATTTTTGTATTTTTAGAATTACCTTGTCAGCAATATTTAAGTTTATGCTGAATATTTATGGTCTTGTTATTTGTAATAAACAAGTACAATAAGCTAGAAATAAAAAAATGTAATGTAACTGTTTTTAAATGTTTTCCTAAAAGTAATGACTCGATTTAAATAATGTTTTAAAAGACTTTGACGAATATTTTAAAAGATTTTAGCTACTAAAATATTTCAAATTAAGATGATGCCTTTTGCTATTTTTGTGATTACTATTACAATAAGTACTATAAGCTTTGTAAAAACAACTTACAGTACTCCTCTTAAAGAAGATTTGGAAAAATTGAAACTTTATTCACAATGGGAATACATAAAATATAGTCCTGTGGAGACTGGTAATAATTGTATTACATTCAGCCAATATGTTCGAGAAGCAATCGAAGGTGAATCAAAAACTTTAATAAGCAGTGCCTATTGGAAATGTATGGAATTAATGTGCGATAGAATAAACAGATATGTGTTTTTACTGACTCTTTATAGCCACAAAGCAATTAAACTTGGGCAAACACCTTCTTGGGTATTAGAAAAAACTGGAGTACCTTTAAAAATGCTACTGGAAGTATTAAAACGGTTAAAATTAGACAAAGACAATAGTAAATTAAATACAGTTGAAATATTAAAAAATTTAATTGAACCCGAAGATAAAAATAAATTGTATTATGATATGAATACGATGATTGAAAAATTTGTTTTTCACTTTCTAGAGACTTACAATATATTTAAGCCTAATGTGTTAAACTATTTATTTTCAAAATCAAAAAATTTATATACCATAAATATACCTGAGCCTTTTTTAATACAGGTATTTCCTCAATTTCCTAAACCTAACAGTAAATTTTATTCCATACCTCAAGATTATAATGAAGTTATTAATAAACTAGAAGAGATCGTTGAACTTGTGAAAACGGAATACGAAAATGAAGAAGTCTCAGAAACAGAATAAAAATGGGCAGATTCCATCTCAGGGATGAATCATTTTGTTGTTTTTATTTTATTTTATTTCTTAAACTTAATTGAAACAATAGTTAAATTTTGTTTTTATATCGAAAGGATATGTTTATTCAATACTATTGATTTTAATACATTGTTGTTGTTATTGCTTTTAAATAAAATTATTTTATTGATTTGCAAAAAATTATTTTGCGCTCGTAGTGTTATTAGTAAATTTTAGACTGGTCGATAACAACTTTTGGGCGAATGCTTCGGATGTTATTATCATTTTTATACCTGTGCAAAAGGAAGACTACAACCGGCAAACCATCGATGATATCCAGTCCTCACTACCAGATATAACTTTAAATCGATAATGACCTCTGAACTACTGGTCTAAAAGTTGTTATAAATTTCCTAGTCGCGTCATTGTCTATTAAATAAGCTAGTTAATTAAGTACATTGTCATTTGAAGAAATAAAATTGATACTCCTATAATTTGTGAGAGATTATTCCAATAAGGTATTTATAGCTGATAATTCAAGGACCAACTAATAATAAAAAAAAAAAAACTAGTTTTTTTACTAGTATTGTATTTATTTTGTGAGTGATCAAGCTACTAAACTCGGCTTTAATTTATCATTATGTTCTAAGGTTAGAAATAAATATTGATACAAGTCGGAATTGTCTAAATAACGATTGTTTAAAATTAATTTTTTATTCGTCTAACACTATTTGATTTATTATATTGAATTATAAGTCATAGTCTGAATATTAAAACAATTTATTTCTAATCGCACACAAATAGGTATTTTAACTTAGTACATACAAACGAGATTGGGCATATTGTTTCAAGGTATTGAGAAAAACATTTTTTTAGCGTTTAGAAATGGCGCATCGTTAAAATTAAAAATTATTTGCGTCGCACTAGTCGTTGTTTTAACTCACCCTTCCCCCCCTCCCCTCCCTTAAAGTTGACCCGACCCTGCAAAGTAATACACCGTCGTCAGCTGTAAAATAAGATTATCGTTTGATTGCACTCCGGCGAGTGTACGGAACGCGTTAGTATTCAATTGCGACAATTAACGGCCGTCTCGTCGCGTCGGCTATTTTTCTCGGGAACAGCAGCGACATGTAAATATTACTTGAAAACCGATTTCAGTGTGCAGGACTCGCTATGCAGTAGAACGGGAATGCGCAGACACGGCGGGACAATAATTTTGTCTTCTATTCAAACATTGAGCGGTCGGTTCTATTCCGCTCTAACAAATTTACATTCAATGTGATGTTGCAACACAACGCTCCCGTTTGATGTGTACGCGTACGCGCGCATTATAAATAACTGCAGGTTTGCTGTGCACGGACGACTTTTTATTTCTATTGGCCGAACGCGTTTTACCGGACAAACACGTGTTATGGAGACGGCGACGGTTCAATGGCGAATTCATCCGGTACGATTGTCTGTTGCCAAAGCGCACGGTTTGTAACGTTCTCCTAAAGCAATTGTCGCCGCGGGCTGTCCAACGGCCGGAATTCGTCTGTGCCGTCGCCGTCGCCCTCGACATATTAATACGCGTGATATTTCGCGGGACGTGCTCTTTGATCTGCGATGCGACAGCCGCTGGACGTCGCTTAGCATTCAAGTGCACACTCGATGAACAGCGAAAACGACAACGCGGTGTTGGCTTTCTCGGGGCAATCGTTGTGATTTCGCTGGCGTTCGGTTCTTGTTGTGCGTCATCGCACAACCGTCGGGTTCAAAGGAATACACGTGGCAGATCGTTTTGTACGAGGAATGCGAGTTGCATAAAAAAACTCCAAAGTAGTACAAAAAAATAATAATAATAATAACGGGGCAAAAAAGCGGAGTGCGTACAGCCAATGAGACCCGCCTTCTGTTGTTAGACATTTTCCATGCGGAAAGTTACACGTGAATGGTTTCCACTTGTAAAATGTGACTGGCCGTTCGCGATAGGCCGAGGAAAGTGCGTCCGACGTTTTTTTGCGCTTATCTTCCGCTTTTAACTATGCGATATTTTTTATTGCGGGAATGTTTTCCGGAATCCGACCGCGATTACATTAAAAACATGTATACACTCCAAAGATAATAATAATATCTCAAAAATACAAAACGCGTACCCGCCCGTGCGATTCTAATTACCCTAAATCCGTGTAAGATTTGACGTCGTGACCGCCTTTTGTAAAAACAGTATCAATGAAATCTTGTTTAGCTCATACATTTGTCTATTCGTCGTTATCTAGTAATGTCATTCTGGGGAGGGGGGGGCAGTTGTCGGTTTTAGGAAAATTCGGTTTTCAATGACTGTAGTATATGCGTGCGATTATCGAATGACCAGCGCTGGTGAAGTGGCAACAGCAGTAGCCGAACCAAAACAAGCGCACGTCTCTAGGTGGCCCCAGACAAACGCCACACGCGAACCGCAAAAAACGGACAATCCGTGAGATTCGGTCTTGGACGCTGTCGTCCGTGTTAGGCGGCCGTACGATAATATACGGACAGGAGGAGACGGTTCGTGAACACAGCGGGCAGTAAACATTTTTTCGTTGTCTGTCCATGTAATGTTCCAACTGTCGTTTGCTATCGGGTTCCTTTTGCCGTATAAATTATGCGGTCGGCGACATTATAAAACAACGGGTAACGCTGGGCGATCAGTGCGTATCATGAAAAAAATATATAAAAAAACACACACACAAATAATAGCTATAATAACAACGATTATGCGACGTTTGTAAAATAAATATAGATGTATATTGTAACATGTTTGTGTGTAAAACATATTCACGTGCACACGAAAAACATAATTCCGAGTAACATGTCATTGCAGTGTGTGGTGCGAGAGGCTTTGGCAATGGCGTCTCGGCCGTCGCAACGACTTGTGCACCGCCTGTTCGAGGCCGCCGCCGCCGCCGCGTAGTGAAGGTGTTGTTTTTCTGGGACAGCATGCGGTCCACCCCGTCCCGCGTCCACCGGCCAATACGCGCGGGATTATTGTTTTTTTTCGTTTAGATAAACTTGGCGATTATTCGCGCGGCCCTCTCCGCCCCGGCCGTCGGTACACGACGCGAGTGTAATGAAGTCGCTCCACTGTCGCGGTGGCACGCAACGCGTCACTCACACACCGCCGGCACATTGTGCACGACGGCCGGACACAAACGTTGGGAATTATTGCTATCAGATAAATGTGGACACCGCGCGTTCCTATCTGCGATGATCGTATAGGAGAATAATAATTATCGCCCAACGGATGTACACACACGACCGATCGATCCTACGCCCGAGAGAGAGTATGATGTCAGCCGCACTTTAGTGCCAACAACATTATTGTTCGCTTATCGGTTACCACCTCGTACAATTGTCTCGGCTATTTCGCAACCAGAGTCGCCGAGTTTCGCCTACTCGGTACTATTGTCCGCTCATAATGGTTTTCGCGTGTAAAGCTTTTGTGAAAAACAACGTGTGAGTCATTGTTAGCCACGACCGCCGCCGNAAAAACTACGTGTGAGTCATTGTTAGCCACGACCACCGCCGCCGAGTTGACACGAAAAACAGGTTCACTTTTGGTTAAATCCGTCTTAATTAACTGAGCTCGCCGACGACGAGCCAAAGCATATTTGTACTGTTGTTTCAGAATGCTTACAAAGCGTGAAATATTTTTTTTTTTTTAAGAAGATTTACGGGACAAGACACGAGTCGAGTGTTAACTGCACAAAAATCAAACGGTATTAATGTCTAAAGTCGATACGAATGTCTTAATTAAAACGTAGTGTTTAAACGTGAGCTTGTTAGTATTAACGCGTCGAGTGTGTAATTTCTTCAAACAGACTTTATCCACATGTACTTATCACGCGTAATACATTTTAATAACTGTCCCGATTGTCGTTTGAAATATTTCTGAAAAACTTGTATTTGAATTACTCAAAGTATTAACGTGATCGTTCACCTCCTTGCCGCGCGTGTCACTAAGTTTAACCACTTATACTTTACGATCGGTTCGCGTTATTGTTTTTAATACAAGTACACATTTTTCTCCACCGACAGACTGTCGTGTAACGTGTTGGCTCGACGCAAAACGATTACCATAATATATAACACTTACCGCAGCAACGTCGCCGTCCTAATTGAAGTCCATTACTTATTCGCCATTATTACCACCAGTTCATTTGAAGTGTCCGAATTACAACCGTTTTCAATCCGCTCTGTCTATACGGCCAGAGTTTTTTATGTCCATCTGTACAATGTCGTTGCGCTTGTAGCGTAAAAAAAATAAAACACTACCAATAAAAAAATATATATTTATACACCATTTTTATTGAAACGCGCGAGAAGCGCTGGGCGGACAGTCGCAATGTATTAATTGCAAGACGCGTATAAAACGGCGACGGACTGTTCTCTTCGTTTGCCGCCTCCTCTGCCGCCATCACCGCGTTAGAGCACCGGTAATTTTCGCCGGGACAACCGCTATAGTACCGTCCTGTAAACGCGCTGTTGTCCGGCCAAACTTTTAAACGTGTAATTTGACACGCACACGCCGCTCGCTCTGCCGTAACCTGCATAGTTAAATAATGTTGT